AAGAGGTCTGGGGAGAATAGGCTTCAAGGGGTAAGACCCTCACTTCTCCAGATGCATCTGAAGAAGTGAGGTTCTTACCCATGAAAGCTTATGCTCCCAGTACTTCTGTTAGTCTCAAAGGTGCCACAGGACCCTCTGTTGCTTTTTATAAGGATTAAGTTATTGGTTATTGGTCATAAATCAAATTGTTATCATAATAAATGTGGCATCTTTATCTTGTCCCCTTTAATAAGATCCTGCTAGTTTTTATTGGTATAACATGGTGCGCGTAAGAGATTTGCTTGGTTTACGTGTTCTGTGCGTGTTGCTAATAAATAGATGTTTAGAGCACAACTGTGAAAGGCTTTCGCTGGGAAAAGGTTCCACAGACCCGTAGAGCCCTAAGCCCCAAGGGAAAGGGTTAGCGTTAGGGTTGACCAGGTTTCTTCCTGAGCCCCATGGGTAAAAATAGGTGGCTTACGCTCAGAGCCCTCGGTAGGGAAAGGGTGGGGTTGCCTAAGTTGATTGGTTCATGCCTTGAGCCCTCAGTAGGGTATAGGCGGGGTGCCCTAAATTGACCAGATCACGTCTTGAGCCCTTGGAAGGGTATAGGCAGGGTTCCCTAAATTGACCAGGTCACAGTTTCAGCCCTCAGAAGGATATAGGCGGGGTGCCCTGAATTGACCAGGTCACAGTTTCAGCCCTCAGAAGGATATAGGCGGGGTGCCCTGAATTGAGCGGGTAACAGACTGGTGGAGAATGCGGGCAATCTAGGTCCTTTGGACTGAACTGATTGAGCCTTAAACAGCAGTTGGACAGAATATTTGTGCCCCTTCTGTCAAGAAGGACTGCAGCCTGCTTGACAGAATGAACACTGTAGGGCAGGGGTGAGCAAACTTTTTGTCCCAAGGGCCATGTCTGGTATGGAAATTGTATGGCGGGCCATGAGTGCTCACAGAATTGGGGATTGGGGTGCAGGAAGGTGTGAGGGTTCCAGCTGGGGATGCGGGCTCTGGGGTGGTGCTGGGGATTAGGAGTTAGGGGTGCGGGAGAGTGCTTCCGGCTGGGACCGAGGGGTTCGGAGGGCGGGACGGGGATCAGGGCTGGGGCAGGGGGTTGGGGCCTGGGAGAGGGCCAGGGGGGCAGGCTCCGGGAGGTGCTTACCTAAAGTAGCTCCCAGAAACAGCGGCATGTCCCTGCTCCAGCACCTATGTGGAGGTGTGGCCAAGCGGCTCTGCGTGCTGCCCTGTGTGCAGGCACTGCCCCTTCAACTCCCATTGGTTGTGGGGCGACGCTTGGGGTGGGGGCAGTGTTTGGAGCCCCCTGGCTGCCCATATGCATAGGAGCTGCAGTGGGATGTGCCGCTGCTTCCGTGAGCCATGCTTAGTGGGGAAAAACCCCTACCCTACTCCCCGGCTGGAGTGCTGGAGCAGGGCAAGCCCCAGACCCTGCTTCCCGGCGGGAGCTTGAGTGCCGGATTAAAATGTCTGGAGGGCTGGATGTGGCCCCCGGGCCATAATTTGCCCACCTCTGCTATAGGGAATAGGAGAGTAGGAATCTTAAGTTGAAAAGCCAGGAAGGGTGGAATTGGCAGAGAAACCAACCCTCCATGCAAAGTGGGTAGCGGACCGAAGTCCATGCCCATTGGAAGATGACCCTTTTCAAGGGAAAAATGCATTGGAACATGCATGTAAAGGGTTTGAAGCATATTGCAATAATATGAAGTCTAACTTAAATAAAAGGACTGTGAAAACTGCGGCTGGGTGGGTGCACTGTGGAAAGTGTCTTGCAATCTCTCAGGGTTAGTAACATCTCAGGAGAACCAGTTAGGAGACTGTGAGTTGGAATTGGGTAAAGGATCCCTTGAATCAGTATAAAGCCTCACAATGTGCCTTTGCAGCGTCCTCCTCTGCAAAGTGCTGCTGCATTAAAGGAAAAGGGAGGGGAGTCTGGTGGACAATGTTATCAACAGTCCCTGTGTATGTTGTATTCTGATAGTTCAGAGGTCCAAAGGACATCTGTCAGGGTTCCTTCTCCACTCTGAACCCTAGGGTACAGATGTGGGGACCCGCATGAAAGCCCCCTACGTTTATTTCTACCAGCTTAGGTTAAAACCTGGTACGCTGCCACCACCAAGTGATTTAACAAGAAACAGGGAAAGGACCACTTGGAGTTCCTCTTCACCCAAAATATCCCCCCAAGCCCTTACACCCCCTTTCCTGGGGAGGCTTAAGAATAATATCCTAACCAATTGGTTACAAAATGATCAAAGACCCAAACCCCTGGGTCTTTGGACAATGGAAAAATCAGTCAGGTTCTTAAAAGAAGGATTTTATTAAAAATAAAAGGTAAAAATCATCTCTGTAAAATCAGGATGGAAAATAACTTTACAGGGTAATCAGATTCAAAGAGCCCAGAGGAACCCCCTCTAGCCTTAGTTCAAAGTTACAACAAAACAGAGATAAACTTCCCTCTAGCAAAGGTAAAATTCACAAGTTGAGAAAACAAAGATAAACTAACACGCCTTGCCTGGCTGTTACCTGCAAGTTTGAAATATGAGAGACTTGTTCAGAAAGATTTGGAGAACATGGATTGATG